TTGCCCTCATAGAAGGCAGGGATTTGGGTTGAAGAAGTGGCAGCTTGAGGGGAGTCAAGAGGTCTGCTGTTCCCACTCTTTGTTCTGCCTTTTTTGTCTGACAGTCAGTCAGATTAATCATTTGTTGCCTTGATTTGCCTTTTGGCAAAATAATGATCATAAGTCACATATATCCCATATCCCTGACAGTACTGTCTACCTGCAAAATTTCAAGAACATTTAAAGAAAAACCTGGGGTTGCTTGAACGGGAGAAGACAACCTCCTTTTTTACTTAAAGAATGGAATCTTAGCTCTTAAAAGGCCCCTGATCTTTCTCCAAACTCTCGCCTCCCTACTTCCATCCCAAATTGACTAGTTTGTCACTTTGGGCTGCTAACTGCAAGATCAATAGTTTGAATCCAGCAGTATCTACATGGAAGAAAGAGGAGGCTTTCTGTTCCTGTAAAGATCAGAGCAGAGATGTCAGCTTGAGGACTAGGAAGAGCAGAGATGTCAGCTTGAGGACTAGGATGCGCCTGACCCAGGCCTTTGTGTTTTCAATAGCTTCATATGGATGCGAAAGCTGGACAGTGAATAAGGAGGATCGTAGAAGAATTGATGCCTTTGAGTTGTGGTGTTGGAGGAGAATACTGAAAGTGCCATGGACTGCCAAAAGAACCAATAGATCTGTTTTGGAAGAAGTGCAGCCAGAGTGCTCCTTGGAGGCCAGGATGGCTAAGCTTCGTCTCTCCTACTTTGGACATATTGTCCGGAGGAAACAGTCGCTGGAGAAGGATGTCATGTTGGGTAGGGTGGAGGGTCAGAGAAAAAGAGGAAGACCCCCAACGAGATGGATCAGCCAGGTGGCATCATTGATGGACTCAAGTGTGGCAGCGGTGGTGAGGTTGGCCCAGGATTGAACATTGTTTCGTTCTGCTGTGCATGGGGTTGCTATGAGTCGGTTCTGACTCGATGGCACATGACAACAACAACAAAGATCTACAGCCTCAGAAACCCTACCCAAGGCTACTATGAATCATTATGGTCTCCATGGCAGTGGAATTTTTTTTTTTTTTCTTCAATATTGTGTTGAAAGAGGGGATGCTTTTACTCTGTACTAGCCACAGCCACAACTGAGCTATCATTGAACCCAAAACATATCCAGCTGATAAGGCAATCCATGTTAAGTGCCCTGGAGTCAGTTCTGACTTACAGTGACCCTGTCTGTATAGGGTTTCCAAGGAGCAGTTTTATATATAAATTGTTGTCGTTGTTGTTGTTAAGTGTTGTCGAGTCGATTCCAACTCATAATGACCTTATACAGGGTTTCTGGGGAGCAGCTGGTGGGTTTGAACCATAAGCAGGCCAGTGCTTATCCTAGAGTACCATACCAGGACTCCAAGGCAATCCACAGGGTAAATCTAGTCTCCTTCCCCTTCCCATTATGCAACAGAACGTCAGTGATTTGACCAATGTCATTGGATTAATTAATGGCAGAGCTGAAACAAGCTGCAGTGCTGGGGGCCATGTGGCTGAATGATTAATTACAGTATCTCTGGGGACAGATTGCCCAGATTTCAAGCTTTATCACCACCTCTGAGCTATGTTACCTTGGTCAAACTGTTTAATGTTTAATTTAGTGTTGCATTGGGCAAATCTGTTGCACAAGACTTCTTTAAAATGTTCAAGAGCAAAGATATCAGTTTGAGAATTAAGGTGCCTGACCCAAGCCATGGTAATTTCAGTAGCCTCATATGCATGTGAAAGTTAGACATTGACTATGGAAGACTGTAGAAGAATTGATGCATTTGAGTTATAGTGTTAGAGGAAAATGTTGAAAGTACCATGGACTGTCAAAAGAACAAACAGATCCGTGTTGGAAGAAGTGCAACCAGAAGTCAAAATGGCCAGACTTAGTCTCTCATACTTCTGACATATTATCAGGAGGCCTCAGTCCCTGGAGAAGGACATCATGCTTGATAAAGTGGAGGGTCAGCGAAAAAGAGGAAGACCTCCAGTGAGATGGATTTGCAGTGGCAGCAGCAGTGGGCTGAAGTGTAGCAGCAATTGAGAGGATGGCGCAGGACTTTCTGTTGTGCATAAGGTTGCTATGAGTCGGAACCAACTTTAGGGCACCTAACAACAACAACATTTAATATCCCTAAGTTTCAGTTTTCTCACTGGTAAAATCAAGATGATACTTATAATACCTACTTCATAGAGTTTTTGTAAGTGAGATGACATACATAAAAGGCTTCATATGTAAGTGTTAGCTATGTGGCACTGTGCGATAAGCATGAGACTGCTAACCACAAGATCAGCGATTCAAACCCACCAGCTGCTATACAGGATCGCAGTGAGTCAGAGCTGACTCAATGGCACTTAACAACAACAACATTATTGTTATAACAAGGGTTTTCTTTGCAGTAACGCTTTCCAACTTTCCTGTAGAATACAGTCCTCTCAACCCAGTGTATGTGTTAGAAAACACAGCTCTTTAGGACAAAGGCTGTTTTCAGTGTGGATGGCAGCTTTACCAGCCATTGAAGAAGGGATTACTCTTCACATGGAGATTGTAAGTAGGTTTGCATTTGGGACACCTCCAGATTAACCTGCTTCCTCTGATCTCTTGCTAACCACCAGTTTAGTAGCATTTGTGTGGAAAGAGCAGAGCATGCTGCCTGTGGTCTGAGACAGAAATGTAACCACAGTGCCAAAGAAAATTAACAACGTGGCACAAACTAAGTATCCTGATTGTACAGGGATGTACAAGCCCTTTGAGATGTATTAGTTCAGAGAAGGTTGCCTTTTCTTTTTGTCAACAGACATGTTCGCTTGCACTCAGACATTCCACCAAATTTACTTTCTCTTACAGATTTAACTTAAACTTGACTTGGAATTGAAAACATTTAGAGTTTTGGAAATCCCTTTTAAAAACCCTGATTTAATTTCTTAAGGCCTATAGTCCTGATTGCACAAATACCAGCAAGATATAATTTTTAAAAAATAAGCCAGCTTTAGCTAATTTAATTTCAAGCATCTTTGTGAGGTTGGCCCTGTTCATGTTGTCAATGACAATGCTTGTACCCCGGATGCACCTGACTTAAGGACAAGCCACAAAATAGTGCAGCTGGGAAGAGGCAAGGCAGCATGGAGGCTGGGGACCAGAATCAGAAACCCTCCCAATGCTGGGAGGAAAGTAAAAAGCTCCTGTCTTCCAGGTGGTCTCTGCCAAGTATTTTTCTTTTATAGGGATTGGGAAATATTTTTGATTATTTAAGAAATATTCCTTTTATCTATCTGAGGAAACATTTTTTTAAGTGAAGTCTGTTCTCGTATCTCAGTCCATTCAAGGTGCTTTGTAATGTGGGGTTGTACTCAGGACCACAGGCATAAATAAAAGCTCTGTGGCTGGCACCAAGATGCTGGTCAAATTCATTCATTGATTGATGCTTTGCTTCCTCCACTCCCTGTCCCTGTCCTCCCCCTTTTCTACTTCCTTGGGTTTCTTCTTCCTTTTTGTCTTCCCCCACCCTTTCTCCTTTTTCTTCTCATCTTCTTCCTCCCTATTTGTTCTCCGTCTCCCCCTTTTCTTCCTCCTCTTCCATCTTCCTGTTCTTCCTCCATTCCTCATTTCTCTTCTTCTCCACTTCCTTATTCTTTGAAATCAATATGAGGAAGCTTCCAAAAGTTTGTGGATAAATTTCATTATCTTGTAATTCCATTTGAAACCCCCTTCATATTAAATGACCAAAATGAAAAACTTCCAAACATGTCTTTTCCCCACCCAAAACAAAACTACACAGTGGCGTGATTAAATGAACTAACACAGTGATTTACTTGTTTTCAATAGCTTCCAAAAATTAATTATTTTCTCTTAGCTTCATAATGAGAAAAGATTTCTTATTTCTTTCTCATGTGTTTCTGCATATACATTCAGAAAAACACCACAATTTGTAGTTTCAGTTTTTCACTATTTCACTCAACTGTCCAAATTGAGTCGTGAGCCTTACTGAGCCCTACTTGATGCTCGGTTTGAAATTTGCTGCTCATCCCCAGGAATAAGCTTGTGGGTGGCCACATACTTGTAGAATGGGTTTTTATCTTGTAGGAAATCCTTGGGAACAATACCCCAGAATGAATGAAATGGGCAATGGAGAGTTTGTTCCACTTTACAAAAAGAAAGGAGGAGAAAAAAACCCTTCCTTGGTCTAAATTGATTAGCCACAGACACTGCAATAGGGCCTGGGAATGAATAGTGGCCCTCTTCCTGAGTGAGAACCCTCTCACTCATGCGTGCCCCAAGCATATTCCCGGGTGTGGAGAGGAATGTGTACTTACACACATCTCTGGAGCCCAAGTCAGAGCCCAGTTTAAGTGGATTGAACACATGTGTCATATGCAGCCACAGAGTTAACATGTATGACCACAATGTGTTACCTGTGTAGGCACACTACTCTGGAAAACACACAATCTCTCTTAAAGGTGCACAAGTGTCACTAGAATGTTCATTTTTGTTTCCTTTGTCCAAAGTCAAACATTCAGTCTTTCAGCTCACCAGTGTCTTATAAGCCTGGTGCTGGCCCACACTGCTGCAGGACTGGGACAAAGAGATGATGTTACAGTCTGGTTTCTATGGCAACAGAGGAGGGGAAATGAAAACCGAAATGTTGGAAACACCCATTCTGACAATTGTGACATAATTCAGGTTATTACTAGGACGTAACTACCAAAGAAGCAAGAAGTATCATTACCTTGCAGCTCATGTCGACAAGAAGCTGTGCCGCACATTTCTCTTAGTTGGGCTACTAAGAGGAAGGAAACACAACACACACACACACACACACACACACACACACACACACACCTCTTTTTCTGCATGTAAAATGTGTGTGTTCTTTAAAAGCCACTGGTTGGCTGGTTTTCCGGACATGATGTGGTTGAAGCTGTCATCGTAATGGAAATTCATTGCTGTAGCTATGGTAAATCGAGTTTTCTGCCTGTGCTGAATGCATTAGTCTAATGAGATGTTTGCAGCTGGAGAGCTGGACTGCTGGAGACTAACTGTGAGCGACTCACACACGCGTGGAAGACAGGTTTTGTAATACTCGGTTTGCATGGTCCGAAAGTCATCTGTCTACTGAGCCAACACTCCCGGCCTGGTAAAGAACCTGCTCAGGGCTCTGGTGAACAAGCCGTAGGTAAGGGAGAGGCACAATTGGAGGGTGTGCCTCTGACATGGAATTCTTTCCTAACTGTTTGGGTGACAGCTTACCCGGGTTAGTTTTTCCTGGGTCGCATGCCTCCCTCTGTGGCAATGCACACGTGTCCTGGACTAGACCCATGAGCCCAGCAGGTAAACTTTAGTCCCTGCTTTTCAAAATGCATTTGATTTTTTAATCAGTTCTCAAAAGGTGCAACATAGAAGAATATAGTCTAAAAATGCAGATTGTAGACATAGTCACTATTTATCAACACTGCATTGAAATGTGTAGAAAGTTATGGGGTTTTTTTTCTCCAAAATGTGAACTCAAATAACTGGTTAAGTGTTTTTTTGTTTTGTTTTATTTTTTAGGGGGGCACTGTGATTTTATTTTGCTTTATAAATTTAAAAAGTGATAGTATGTCTTGAGATAATAAAAGTATTTACCTAAAATTTGTTTATTATAACTGATGGGTTGTGAATGTACAAACATGGTTTTATAAAATTTGGCATTTATATGGAATATTCTACTTGTTTTTGTGCTGTTTTGCTTTCTTTCTGATTTACCTGGCATAGAGGAGAATACTATTCATTGCTAGTGGCTTGTTGTATTTATTTTGGGGAAAAAAGACCAGAGCTTCAAACCGGTTTGAACTGGTTCAGTTGTGGCCATTGCAGCAAAATTGGAACAGACCTAAATTTGTAAAATGGGGGTGTACTTGAACAATAACCGGAAAGGGAAAAGTACAGGTCAAAGCCTTGGAATGGGAGACTTGGAAGAGGCATAGTGCTCACTTTCAGGAGCCTGATACATGCGGTTGGATTATTGCCAGACTGGGAAGTGTGCGAAACACTGTCAAAGTGGCATGGCCAGCAGCCATCTCTGAGCTGGACACCGTTATTTCTGACTTGACCGTTCAAGAGATTTGGTTGCTGTGTAAAGCATACACTACTGTTGTTTTCTAAGAAGGAGACTAAGTTTTAGAGGGCTGTCAACCTAGTTTTCCCATTCCATTAGTGTCTACCCACAGTTTACAAATTTGGGTCCCCACCAATTTTGCTTCATTGACCATAACTGAACCAGGAAGAGCTGGTTTGAAGCCCTGAAAAAAAAAAAAAAAAAAAGTGACTATGGAGTGCCAGGAGAAATTTTCTGAAGTTCAAGTACAAAGCTGTCTCCTTCCCAGGTGAAATGTTGTGGGACCTGAACCAGTTTCCTTGTGCTCTTCTGAGCTTCACACGGTGTCCTCTCTGGGTGGACAGGACAAGTGGATGAGGGTGAAGGCTACTCCGTAAGTGTTTTTATCGACTATTGGTGTGCTTAAATCAGCGTTCTTTCCATGACCTGCTAGATCGTGAAGGAGACGTGGTTTCTAGAGTTTGTGATGTGCTCAAGTAGATTAGACAGCCAGGAGCTTTCTGGAAACGTGGCTATTTGGATGGTCTAAGGTGCAGTGCTACTTGAGAAAGTGATCTTGATGGTTAAGAATCAAGAGTAATTGAACAAGGTAGAGAAGTTTGTTGTGTACTCTTTCAAAAACCCTAGGAACCATTTTTGAAGAGTGAAGGACATAGTTACTTTTTTTCTTAAGACTTTTTTTATGAAATAGAATACTTAGAGTGAAAGCATAAAAATAACTATGAAGAAATGCAGAGTGTTTTAAAATAAACTATGGACGGCACTTAACAACAACAATTGATGGTGGGTAGGGTACATTATTTGTGTGATGTCATTTTTGGGGGACGGACTACATGGCAAAATTAGCCTGAAACAACAAAGGGGATTGTTGAGTAACAGCAGCTGGCTGAAGATTCCCTAGAAAGCACTAGCAAACAATTTAACACAAATCAGGACTAAAATGTTAATGTAGAAATTTCAGCTTTAGGGCACTTGTTTTGTGGCTTTAAACACATCTGTGATAAATACTTTACAAATATTTAAATATTTTCTTTCCACTCTATATTATCTTGATAAATTTATGGGTCTGTTTGATTTGTGGTATTGCAATAAAAGTGCAAATCCCTACAAGAAGCCCAATTCACGATGTTTAAATTTCTCTGCTGTGCCACACACACACACACACACACACACATAGATGAATGATAAGAAAAGAAAAGAAAACAATGCTAGAAGCAAGGGCACATTACTTTTCATTTGCTCTTCGTAGTGTTATTTAGAGGAGAATGAAACCAGCAGATACAGTTTCACTTTCTGCTTCTTGGATTCTCGGGCTGGGGCTGTCGGGCTTTCCCCCTCTGCAGCAGGTAAGGGGAACAGACCAGCTGTTAGAAAACAAACCAAACCCAAGTACTTTAAAAACATCAAAAATTCAAAAAAGGAGTTATTTTTTTGTTTATGTTAAATAATATTTACTATTATAAAAATTCAAGTTATATCTCCCAAACATAATGATATAATGTTTAATTAAAATTTTTTTAAAGAACTTTAAATGTTTGGAAAAATAATAAACAGATTCAGTTAAATCTCCTTTAACGGAGTAACTTATATATATATATTTTTTATTTCAATTTTGGATCTCAAATTGTGAACTTCAAGAATACTTAGCTGGGGCTTCTTTAGATTCAAACAAGAAACATTCATGGAGGAATAATTTTACAAAATCCTAGGAGTGTAATTTCGAGTTGTTTTGCAGATAACTTTATAATTGTATGTAGCTGGAGCCTACATCACACACATATACACTTACATGCACACACCCCTAAAGTCATATACCTTAGAGGAAATATTTTGTCCCGCTGGAGCTTGGACTTTGCTCCCGAGGGCTGGGCTAGAGCTCAGCAGGACATTTCTCCTCCTCATGTCTGTGTCCCTCAGCATCACACCAACTCTGGTACCCTGGTTGTGCTCTCTACAACCTACACGCTATGAAGAAAGCAAGGAGGGTCATGTGGCCCCTGCCCAGGCTTCAGAATTTCTAGCACCTTCAGTTTCATTCAGTTCTCCTTGTCTTCCATGGACCCTTCAGTTTTTATCTGGGGAAGGGGTGGGAGGGAAGGGGTGGGAGGGAAGGGGAAGAAGAAGTGTAAGATTCTCCTCCAGTCTAATTATTAGAGAACATAGCATGTGTTCTAACATTTGGGGGATGGAGTCTGTGAAGGCAAACCCCCATGGTGACAGCATGCAGGCTCCTTTTTTCAGGTGAGCAAAATAGACATTTCTAAGAAGAAGCTTTGTTTAAGTGTCTATTTGGACATTTTACATTTTAATACTGCCATCTCCCAAAAGACTAGTTGGAGATTTATATGATTTTTATGTTTTTGTTGCCTTCAAAGGCTGACAGGTGAGGAGAGATGAGGAGGATTCAAAACTGTCTCTGGGAGAAAAATCAAATGGTTGGTAATATATAATGTAATAGAAGCCACCCATGAGTCTGGTCAATTGCTCTAAATTTTAATTAATGAGTCACAAAAGCCACACTACAAGCTTTAAAAATTGCCCCTTTATCATAAGGTGATAATTAACTTTCTCTGGAACGAACAATTCTCTCAGACCTTCAGACTTGGGCAGTATGTAGCCGATGAAGTTCTCTGGGATACTGCCAATTTTGAACAATTGGATTTTTGGCAAACTTACTGGATTTCAACTCAAGCCTCTATTGTAACATTGTCCAACATGGTTGGAAGACCATTACCATAACACAAATCATGGTTAATTTTCTGAGCTCTAGAGGGTGACGGAGACTGTTTGGACTGCATTTGAAGCTATGGCTTTCTCTCTCTTCTTTTTCCTTTTCTATCTTTCCCTCCAAAACCTCTACATTTTCGAGAGCTTAGCCACACTCGCAGCTCTGCTATAAATCTCTGCTAGAGTCACTGTTAAAATTCACTGCAGCTATTCCTGTATTTGTTGGTATGCCGTACTCCCGTATCAAGTTAGGCACTTTGAACCCATGAGGGTCGAAATGTTTTTCATTGTTGTTGCAATCATTTTGGTTTCAGTTTTGGCAACAACTTGGTCCTTAATAACTCTGTAAATGCTTACCTATGATTTCTCAGATGCGGAGATTAAGATCAAGACTTGAAGAAGAGACACTGTGGGTAGGAGGGCCATTTTGAAATGCTGACACTGTTTGAAATTTAGCTTATTCTGACCCACACTTTTTAACGTTTGAAGAGGCACAGAATTATTTGACATTTCAGAGCATGCTGGTCCACATGAGCCCACTCAGACACACACACACCAGTGTCACTAGTGGACAACATCATGAGAGATGATGCTAGTTAGCCCCAGCAGCTGGAAGACAGTGGTAACAAGTAAGAGTTAGCATTTCAGAGTCAGAGCTTTTTTTCTCTCCCCTCTGGATTCTTAGCCTTGCTGGCCTTCTGCTTCTTTCAGCCAGGACCCAGCCAGGACGTGATTCTCACTACAAGGCTTCCTGCTGAGTTAACCTGGCAGTAGTGACACAGACAAGGACACACCTGCCTTTAGGCTGGTGGGATGGAGCAGGCTTTATGCATTCTGCAATAAATCAGTGCTTCGCAGTCAGGGCCGGCACTTTGCCACCACTGAGGAGATAAAACATCTTTTGCTTCTTGCAGTGATTACTTCTTAGACTGTTATTTTAGGACAGAAAGGAATTTATTGCTCAGTGACAGTTCTCACTTTGGATTAAGCTGAAAAGTCATTCCACTGAATCCATTTGACACCCCAAAGCAATGGGAATCTGGTCTGAAGTCCATACTATAGACTTCCTTGGGGTTACTGTTACTGTTTGTAGCAGTTGTGTTTTGTAGAGAAATAGTGGTGTAAGACCATATACATCCTCTCCATGGCCCTGCTGATTTAAGAACATCGGATTTAATTTTTGATTTGTGGGGAGGAAAATGTGTATTTCTTTTTAGGTAGCTGCATTTATGCACTCCTAAGGTTTATAAGGAGTCCTGCTGTGGCACTGTGGGTTAACGCATCAGACTGCAAAGCTGTTTGAACTGCAAGGTTGGCAGTTCAAGCTCACCAGCTGCTCCTAGGAAACCCTA